TATAAACTTAAGCCTAGTTATTTCGACAGTGATTAGTGATATGACACTGATGCCATGTTATGACAGTGTTATGTTATTTTGCACAAAAATTCAAGAATTCAGAATATGAGCCCATTTGCGTGTCTCCATTGATCACTGTTCTATTTTAATGGATTATAGACAATTGAGTTCTTCCTAAATGTAGTTTTATTGACATGAAAATACAAAAAGAGATGAGTTTTTCACATGAAGTGAAGTCGGTCATCACATTTATTTATATACTGCTTTATACAATACCGTTTCAAACAGCTCCACAGGAGTAATTTAGTAGCATTGTAAAGTTTCAGCAATTATAAAAATGACTTCAGTTTCAGCTGTAAAACGTCTCTACAGAAGATAATTACCATTATTTAGGTCAAGTCAGTTAAGTGATTCGATTCAGTTCAATGACAGTGTCAGTGTTACAGAGTTGATCAAATTATGAAACAAATTCTGTCCAGCTATAAAGCAGCTCTAAAGAAAACAACAGTGTCATGATTCAGATTAATTGACTTGAACCTTTCAGATTGAGATGTATTCAGTAATTTCCTTATTAATAAAACGACTGCAATGTCAGCTCTACTGAAGACAACAGTGTCATTAAGCAGTTCAGTTCAGTTCTCATCCAGTCCTGTCAGTGCAGGCAAATTGATAATATTTCTAAAAGTGAATTCTCTATTAAGCACCCTTTTTAAGCACATGAGTATCAACTAAATATTGGGATGTAATGTGATGATGTTTGCTATAGCGGTTGTGTTCACTTTGTCAGTTTAGGGATAATAACGATAAATAACTTTACAAGTGCACACGATTTATGAACCGAGAGAACGAATTAGTAAATTGTGCACACGATTTATTAATTTTTTCTTGCATGTCATGTGCAGTGCTCCGTAGATAGTGAATGCTTAATGTTTATGCATAAATGTTTGAAATTAATTTTGTAGAAAAATATAAATACTGATTTTCTTAAAAGTTGTTTTGTTTTTGTTATGTTTGGTGTTTGTTTTGTTTTCTTGTTTTTATTTTTGTGTTGTTTATTTTGGTTTTGGAGCAGATAGAGAATGCCTACTGCTTATGCATAAAGGATTGAAAAAAGACAACTAGATTAGGAAGCAAGCTAGAGAACAGTTTTTTAAGTGCATTAGTTTAAGAGTGTGTTCAGGTGTGGTAGTTAAGTGCTTGCAGAAGAGGTGTGTCTTCATCTGCTTTTTGAAAGTTGTGATGGTCTCAGCAGTTGGTGAAAGTTGGTAGCAGGTTGGCAGGAGAGGTGTTTGGTTTGGAGCCAACATTCGCATAATTACATATAAGTCACTCATGTGAACTACTTGAAACCTGTCGAGCTTTCATCTATACAAAGAAGAAGAGAGAAGTACAAGAGAGTTATGGTCTGGTCCTTACATAATTCCCAGGCTCCCATTTGCTTCCATTCTCATAGTTTGATGACTGTGGAAAATAATCTTAATAAAAAAAGTATGTTGACTGGCATTGTATTTCAGTTTGTATTTTCTCAGTACTGCATTGGCTTTAATTTTTCAGTGTTTTATCAAATGACAGGAAATGAGTTATATGAGCTGCACAGTAACTTCTGTCCCACCATGTGAAGGTGAAAGCCACACTGGTTGCTCACCTGGTCAGTGCAGCGTTTTCCACTGCTGTTCTTGGGCTGCTGTCCCGTCACCTGCCTTACCGTCAGGACACGTACCACTGTGAGCACTGCAGGAGACTGGAGATCTATGCTGTGGTGAGCTCACACATCTGCTACTGCTGAGCGCCTTGCATTATGGGAAGATGGGTTTGCACATTTAAACATAGTCATGTAGATATGTATACATACATAAAGAATATCTCTTTGGATTTGAGACTTTAGTCTTTGCAACTTTACAGATCTTCTTTATGCACCAAGAGCTTGTAACACTCCAAAGAGAAAGGAAAAATTTAAATTGCATCATATGACCCCTTTAAAAGTTTTGTTTTGGAGCAGATAGTTAATGTTTAATGCTTATGTATAATTGATAGAAATTATTTCTGTAGAAAAATATGAATAATGCCTGTTTATGGTTTTCTTAAAAGTTGTTTTGTTTTGTTTTGTTTTGGAGATGATAATGAATGCTTAATGCTTTTGCATAATTGATAGAAATGAGTTATTTAGAAAAAAATTAATTGTCATGTTTACGATTTTCTTAAAATTTGTTTTGTTTTGGAACAGATAGTGAATGTTTATGAAAAATAGAAATAGTGACTGTTTATTTCATTTTGTTTGCATTTGGAGCAGATAGTTACAGAGCCCCGCACATGGCATGCAGGAAAAAAATAGTAGGCTAAATCGTGTGCATGATTTACTAATTTGTTCCCTCGATGAACTAAAACTAGCAAACGATTACTATTCCGTTCCCTCGATTTATAAATTGTGTGCACGGTTTACTAATTCGTTCCCTCGATTTGCTAAATCATGCACACGATTTATGAACCGAGAGAACGAATTAGTAAATTGTGCACACGATTTATTAATTTTTTCTTGCATGTCATGTGCAGTGCTCCGTAGATAGTGAATGCTTAATGTTTATGCATAAATGTTTGAAATTAATTTTGTAGAAAAATATAAATACTGATTTTCTTAAAAGTTGTTTTGTTTTTGTTATGTTTGGTGTTTGTTTTGTTTTCTTGTTTTTATTTTTGTGTTGTTTAGTTTGGTTTTGGAGCAGATAGAGAATGCCTACTGCTTATGCATAAAGGATTGAAAAAAGACAACTAGATTAGGACGCAAGCTAGAGAACAGTTTTTTAAGTGCATTAGTTTAAGAGTGTGTTCAGGTGTGGTAGTTAAGTGCTTGCAGAAGAGGTGTGTCTTCATCTGCTTTTTGAAAGTTGTGATGGTCTCAGCAGTTGGTGAAAGTTGGTAGCAGGTTGGCAGGAGAGGTGTTTGGTTTGGAGCCAACATTCGCATAATTACATATAAGTTACTCATGTGAACTACTTGAAACCTGTCGAGCTTTCATCTATACAAAGAAGAAGAGAGAAGTACAAGAGAGTTATGGTCTGGTCCTTACATAATTCCCAGGCTCCCATTTGCTTCCATTCTCATAGTTTGATGACTGTGGAAAATAATCTTAATAAAAAAATAAAAAAAGTTGGCATTGTATTTCAGTTTGTATTTTCTCAGTACTGCATTGGCTTTAATTTTTCAGTGTTTTATCAAATGATCAAATGAGAGTTATATGAGCTGCACAGTAACTTCTGTCCCACCATGTGAAGGTGAAAGCCACACTGGTTGCTCACCTGGTCAGTGCAGCGTTTTCCACTGCTGTTCTTGGGCTGCTGTCCCGTCACCTGCCTTACCGTCAGGACACGTACCACTGTGAGCACTGCAGGAGACTGGAGATCTATGCTGTGGTGAGCTCACACATCTGCTACTGCTGAGCGCCTTGCATTATGGGAAGATGGGTTTGCACATTTAAACATAGTCATGTAGATATGTATACATACAGTATATTGATGATGAATGCATGTGGGTGAGTTTTGGGTGCAGTGGGAAGGATAAAACACTGTAAGTGGGCGATGATGTGAGGAACTGGCCACATCAACTTTCTTGTTACAGTTTTTTCTTCAAGCAATTTCCTTGATGCCTTTTCAAAGGACTGTACCGAAGTGCAAAACATAGCACCTTCAAAAGTTTCAGTTATAATGTGTGTCTGTCAAAAAGTCAGGTTCGTATACTTCACATGGTTGAAGAATTTTTGTGAATCTTCAGTAAAGACCTGTTTGTCTGCTTTTTTTTAATATCAAGTCAAATTAGTGCTTTCAAAGTTGGAAGTTGTTTCATAGTATAATTTTGGTTTGCTTAAACCTTACATTAAAATTATACGTACCATTTGATTAGACCTTCTGTTTAATTTTTTTTAGCCTGTGTAGGAGCTTAATGTATTGAAGGATTATGTTGGAATGAATTTAAAGTTTTTGAATGAAATATACAGAGAAAAAAGACAGGTAATGTTGTTACTTGGGGTACTGACTTCTGAATTGATGTGGGGTTGTGTATATGCAACTTATACTTTATTAAATTGCTTTAAATTGGAAAGAAATTTAAGCAATTCGATTGGAATGTATAATTGTAATTGGTTTATCATTTTTAAGTGTTGAAATATATAGATAGATATGAGCTGTTGGCATATCCGTTCCCTCGATTTATAAATTGTGTGCACGGTTTACTAATTCGTTCCCTCGATTTGCTAAATCATGCACACGATTTATGAACCGAGAGAACGAATTAGCAAATTTTTCACACGATTTATTAATTTTTTCTTGCATGTCATGTGCGGGGCTCCGTAGATAGTGAATGCTTAATGTTTATGCATAAATGTTTGAAATTAATTTTGTAGAAAAATATAAATACTGATTTTCTTAAAAGTTGTTTTGTTTTTGTTATGTTTGGTGTTTGTTTTGTTTTCTTGTTTTTATTTTTGTGTTGTTTAGTTTGGTTTTGGAGCAGATAGAGAATGCCTACTGCTTATGCATAAAGGATTGAAAAAAGACAACTAGATTAGGACGCAAGCTAGAGAACAGTTTTTTAAGTGCATTAGTTTAAGAGTGTGTTCAGGTGTGGTAGTTAAGTGCTTGCAGAAGAGGTGTGTCTTCATCTGCTTTTTGAAAGTTGTGATGGTCTCAGCAGTTGGTGAAAGTTGGTAGCAGGTTGGCAGGAGATGTGTTTGGTTTGGAGCCAACATTCGCATAATTACATATAAGTTACTCATGTGAACTACTTGAAACCTGTCGAGCTTTCATCTATACAAAGAAGAAGAGAGAAGTACAAGAGAGTTATGGTCTGGTCCTTACATAATTCCCAGGCTCCCATTTGCTTCCATTCTCATAGTTTGATGACTGTGGAAAATAATCTTAATAAAAAAAGTATGTTGACTGGCATTGTATTTCAGTTTTTATTTTCTCAGTACTGCATTGGCTTTAATTTTTCAGTGTTTTATCAAATGACAGGAAATGAGTTATATGAGCTGCACAGTAACTTCTGTCCCACCATGTGAAGGTGAAAGCCACACTGGTTGCTCACCTGGTCAGTGCAGCGTTTTCCACTGCTGTTCTTGGGCTGCTGTCCCGTCACCTGCCTTACCGTCAGGACACGTACCACTGTGAGCACTGCAGGAGACTGGAGATCTATGCTGTGGTGAGCTCACACATCTGCTACTGCTGAGCGCCTTGCATTATGGGAAGATGGGTTTGCACATTTAAACATAGTCATGTAGATATGTATACATACAGTATATTGATGATGAATGCATGTGGGTGAGTTTTGGGTGCAGTGGGAAGGATAAAACACTGTAAGTGGGCGATGATGTGAGGAACTGGCCACATCAACTTTCTTGTTACAGTTTTTTCTTCAAGCAATTTCCTTGATGCCTTTTCAAAGGACTGTACCGAAGTGCAAAACATAGCACCTTCAAAAGTTTCAGTTATAATGTGTGTCTGTCAAAAAGTCAGGTTCGTATACTTCACATGGTTGAAGAATTTTTGTGAATCTTCAGTAAAGACCTGTTTGTCTGCTTTTTTTTAATATCAAGTCAAATTAGTGCTTTCAAAGTTGGAAGTTGTTTCATAGTATAATTTTGGTTTGCTTAAACCTTACATTAAAATTATACGTACCATTTGATTAGACCTTCTGTTTAATTTTTTTTAGCCTGTGTAGGAGCTTAATGTATTGAAGGATTATGTTGGAATGAATTTAAAGTTTTTGAATGAAATATACAGAGAAAAAAGACAGGTAATGTTGTTACTTGGGGTACTGACTTCTGAATTGATGTGGGGTTGTGTATATGCAACTTATACTTTATTAAATTGCTTTAAATTGGAAAGAAATTTAAGCAATTCGATTGGAATGTATAATTGTAATTGGTTTATCATTTTTAAGTGTTGAAATATATAGATAGATATGAGCTGTTGGCATACCACAATGATAGTTTCACATCTCTCCTATTAATTTGTTACTGCTTTGTAATGTACATTTTGTCTTAAAATATATTTATAACAGAGTAGAATACAGACCCTTTGCACTTGGTACAGACTTTTTTTTCCAATGAAGGAGAAAATGAATCAAATCAGTGCCCTTTCAAGGTATTTGGACAGTAAAGTGAAACGTTTTTAAACACTAATTATTTTAGATCTAAAATGGAAAATGAAAAGAATTTCCATAATGGTCTTGAAAGCTAAAATATAAAATTATAAAATGGGATATTAAGATGGAATATTGCTGTTTTCTTGGTTTGAAGTTCTCTTTGGTCTGGGTTTTTTTTTTCTTTTTTATGTTTTGATCTCAGTGATGGCAAGCCACATTGACATTCTTTGGGCAAGATTTACTAAGAAATTATAAAATGGGATATTAAGATGGAATATTGCTGTTTTCTTGGTTTGAAGTTCTCTTTGGTCTGGGTTTTTTCTTCTTTTTTATGTTTTGATCTCAGTGATGGCAAGCCACATTGACATTCTTTGGGCAAGATTTACTAACAGCTTGCACCAGCACTAACCCTCTTTTGGCATTAAAAACATTAAAAACGCAGTGAATTTAAATGAATCATGCAAGGTGACTTAATAATGTATGCGCTAGTCCAGGGCTGTCCAAACTTGGTCCTAGAGGGCCGGTGTCCTGCAGAGTTTAGCCCCAACCCTAATTAAACACACCTGAACCAGCTATTCAAGCTAGGCATAGAAACTTCCAGTCAGGTGTATTGAGGCAAGTTGGAGCTAAACTCTGCAGGACACCGGCCGTCCAGGACTGAGTTTGGACAGCCCTGCGCAAGTCAGTTTACTGGTATTTCCATCATCATTTAACATCCAGAAACAGCATATATTAACCTCCCTCTCCCATCAGCACTTTTATGGGATTGCACTCTCGTGCTAATTTGCCCTGTTTAGTAAATCAGGGTCCTTGGTCTGACACCAACTAAAAACTCAAAAGGTATCTGGGGAAAAAGTGAATAATTTCTTTCAGTAAGAAACATCTTTAATATTAGCTGTCCAATTATGTCTATGTCCTATGGGGCTTGTTCCAATCTCAGAAGTCCAAAACCTTTCTGAGGGCACTGTCGTTTGTCAAGGAAGCCAAAAAACTGTAACAGTTTTTCTAAATTGATTGGCTGATTGGGTGTGCTTGCAGCTACATTTGTATATGAATAATAGCTTTATAGCTGCATTTACAAAATTCAACATAATTTTGTCTTTTGTGTCTGCTTTTCCAAAGCAACAATATTGTTACAGGAAGTGCACTTATACTGTCGAGAGAAATTGTAAAGTAAGTAATTCTTACCTTTATGTTTGCCTTTGTTTACATGAATGTGCTTAATTATATGCTGATAATGCAAGAAAAAAACAGGTAAATTGAATAGGACATTTTTGTTGTTTTAAGGCAATTCAAGCATAAGGCGTAGTATGTTAATTCAGGTAAACTGGGTCACCAGTGTGACAGCATCACACAAATTGGTCCAATTTGTCTGAATTCAGTCTATAATTCAGGAAAACATTTTAAAAAACATGACCAGTAGCTTTGTGTATATTTGAAGGAGAGTGAATGCATGTGATAGCAGGGTGTGGGTTATTTTGAAGATTGTGTTGTCAGTTTTGCACTTTGGGCCAGTTGTCTGAAAATGCTTCAGAATGAAAGATACCTTTAATTATTTGCAGATGTGCTATGAAAACTCAGATGGTCGCTCTTTTGCTAATCTTTTTTCAATATTTCAACAATGTCTGCTTTAGCCTATGTGCTTGTCCATGTTTGTAACTTACTGAAAGAGGAAATCTCTTTGGCATCTTACAAACGTGTGGACAAGCATGTCAGCTTTGTTGGCTGTGTCTATTATTATGCCTTAGATTGTTGTTTTTCTGTCTCTTTTGGCTGCTGTCAGCTCTTAATCGATGGCTTCTTGGCCACACTGGTTCTGTTTCTGGTGGTGGAGTTGGTGATCTGCATTGTAACCATCTTGTTTGGACTCAATGCTCTGGCTAAAGGTGGCATGCAGGTCAGTTAAACATATGCGCAATGAAATAGTAGGATTGAGAGAGTATGTTGATTTTGGTGATTGTATGGGAGAGTCAGAAATTAATTAATTTTCAAATGTATCTGTGTTGTCTGTCTTCATGTCAAATACTTAAATCAGAATACTATCAGTTGTTACCAATTACATTTTATTGGTAATGTATTTACATAACAGTTGCATAATGATATGAGCTTAATATCAATATAAATTATAAATATAAATTATAAAATTAAAAAACAGGAACAACATTTTTAATTATTTTTTTTGTTGGTTATTACTGTAGATATTGTAGCAATGATTATTAATGTTGATAAATATAATTTATTAATTTCACATTTGTCATCTCACTAAGATGAAAAATAAAATGTATTTTCACACTAGCAATACATTTTATAGAAAGTGAGCCAAAAATATTGCCCATCACCAAAGTCCCTTTCAAGGAAAGTCTGTTCACTCAGCAGCCATATTTGCAATGCCTCGGGAAGCTATTTCGTGCATCCAAGACCCAGTCCTATCTGAATAAATGGGGGAAATCCTGAAATCTCAAAAACCTCAGTCCCACTTTATATTAGGTGGCCTTAACTACTATGAACGTACATCAAATAATAAGTACAATGTACTTATTGTGTTCATATTATCAGTGCTTGAAGTGGGAAAAAAAGAATTGCCGGTACCCCCCCCCCCCTTATTTATTTATTTTTATTTTTTATATTAAATAACTACTTTTTTAATTTTCATAATTCACAATGTAGGCTATGTATAGTGCCACAATCAATCAGTAATTACACAAACGTTTTCAATACAAATAACCACAAGTCAAGCTGTGATACCAAACAGGACCACAGGGAGACGTCAAAAACCACTAAACCTCCACTGGATACATTCAGAATCGCTAAACTTCTTACCACCGCATAACACCTCAGCCAGCCAGTGTCCATTATAAAACATTCTTGCTTTTAATCCAAATACACAATGAAAAGAATAATTTACTGACATCTGGACGTGAAATTGGCCGTGTTTTTTCTCTACATTAGCGCTGTGTTTGTCCAACTGTTTGAATTCGCTTACTGGATCCTTGGACTTTCCAGGAGTTTATCAGTTTCCATTAATGATTGCAAAAACCTGCTTCTTTTCATTTTTAAGGTCTTGTTTTCGTTATAATGTACTGATTCAAATTAGTATGTAATTATTATTCTACTTGTCCCGACATGCTTTTGCACCTCGCACAATTTGGCTGAAAGGATAACAGTAGCCTATTGTGAAACAGGACAATGCCCAAACATCCTCACATTATATTATTTCTTTGAAAATTTATATGAATTCTCCCATCTTTCTAAAGAAGTTGACGCAAACCTGGGTTTATCAATGTTTTTCTATTGTGTTATACGTGTATGCCTTTGGACTTAAATGGACTGCGTTGTTTTATGCATTTTTGTGATTACAAATAAATGGAGCAGCCGTGACTGAACAAGTGTGTTTTCTCATTATATGTAAAATAATTAAATATATTATTTGTCACTGTCTCTGTCACTCTAAACAAAGAGTGACAGTGACAGAGCAGAGCCAATTCATAAAATAACAATATTTAAAAGCACACGTCCAGTTTTGTGTGAGTGAAGGAAATCCGCTTGGGAGTGGAGAGATTCGTCCTCACGCACATGGATCGCGTAACATTATGCGCTCTCGACATTGTCATTAAGATCACACTATAGAAACCGCCTAAAATTAAGTATAAAGAAGAGAAGAAAGCGGCCCTAGGCAGCTGCCTACACATGCCAGGATCCGCCACTGCCAGATGCAGTTAGAAATTTACTAAAAACAAGCTATCGCAAGACATCTGGTGGGGGGGCACCTGGGGTGGCCAGCCAAATTTCAGGGTGGGCCGTTGCCACCCCTGGCCACCACGTAGACACGCCCCTGCCGACAGTGGAAACGAAGCATTGGCCCCGCCCGGCTCGTTGTTAGCCCTGGCTCGCACTGGCCAGACAGTGGAAAAGCGACAACCCCTGCGGCAGACCGACTCCGCTTGCATTCATTCACACGATTTGTCGAGATGACAGGTGACCCCTCCTGGTAGTGTGATTTATATACTGTTATTTCACCAGATACTGACGCTTTGACTCTGAGTACCGGCAACATGTCAGAAGTGCCGGTACGCACGAAAAACGCTAAAGGCTAAAATACAGAAGTGCCGGTGTTGTGCCGAATTCTGCACCCCTGCCAGATTATGCACCCCCTCGTTGAAGTCGCTACCTGATTGCCTAATCCCAACCCCACCCCTAATCCTAACCCCTCCCCCACACCTACTCCTAAACCTACCAATACTAGGGGGTGCAAAATCTGGCAGGGTGCAAATTTCGGCACTACCGGTGCATACCGGCTCACTTCAAGCATTGCATATTGTATTGCAAAACACTTTTGCTTCTATTGAGGTGGGATACGGGTAAGGTTAGGGACAGGTTTGGTGGTATGGGTAGGTTTAAGGTGGGTTAAGGTGTAAGGAATGGGTCAACAGTGTAATTATAAATGTAATTCCAGAAATTAATTCATTATGCTCAAATAGCATTTAAAAGCTTATTTTTCAGGCTAGACCAGCCAATGCGCAGCCATAAGCGCGGTTTCTCAGGTTTCTATGGAAAAAAAGAGTTTCTAATGGCAGCTGCAGTGATTTAATGATTCAGTCAGCAGTTGGCTCTTCCATTTAAGGAGGACTATTCCGCCATATTGCGCTTTGCATGTTTCCCCGAGAGGGAAGGAGACCATGCGTCCTCATAGTGTCCGGTAAAGGACGCAGCGTGAGTTCCCTAGAAGGGGAACGTCTTGGGTTACGCATGTAACCATGTTTCCCTGAGAGGGAAGGAGACCGTGCGTCCTCATAGTGTCCACTAGAGGATGCAGCGTGAGTTCCCTAGAAGGGGAACGTCTCGGGTTACGCATGTAACCATGGTTCCCTGAGAAGGAACGATACAATGCTTCCTCTAACGTACACTATGAGGACGCAGCACGAGTTCCCTAGAAGGGGATCTCTTGTTATATTGAAGCACTAATCGAAGCGGTTTTGATTGGCCATTCGTGCACTCGTAAACATCTGTGACTGGCCATAATACTGCAGAAAAACAACACGTACAACTAAATCTTTGATGAAACATAAGTAGAACTAAATGTAATGACGAAATCAACACTTTCCATGTCATTTCGCATTTCACTTTAATCACAACAATCATAAGATTTAGTTTAATGCTGCAGAGACATTTTTTGCCACGTTTGTTAAATCTGTGGGGTGTTTTAGTTTATTTTGGTGGCATTTTTGCCCCAAGTCCCCATTAATTTCCAACCCTGCATTGTATTTATTACATGATAATTAGTGTAACAGATTTGGTATACTTCTAGTATAAATGTGATTCTTTTTCGAAAATAATTTAGCATGTAGAGTGGTGTTCAGAAATATTTGTATTTGTATTCTTTGTATTTTGTGATCTCCTCTTCACAATCTTCATAATGAACTAATATAATACAGTGATCCCTATGTTTTTCCGCAGCTTCCTGGTTTTAGACAGCGTGCTGCCCCATCTCAGCCCGAGGCCGTCACCCCTAGCCAACCTCAGGTACACCAGGAGCACTTTCAGATTTCAGTTGGTATTCAACCTTGCTTGGTTTTGGAAAACATCTAATGTGAAGTTAGAGCTAGTCAATCCATTGCTTTCTTATATTTAACGCTCTGCTAGTTCTTGACCCTGTCAACCAATCAAACGTCTGCTTTTCCCCACTCATTCAAACCCTACAGGTGGAAGTGTTGGTGTCAGAGGTGGAGCCAATGCCTGAGCGTGAACCTGAACCCAAATCTGAACCGATAGAAGAAATCCCCAGCCCTCCCACTGAACCTCAAGTGGCGCCCATTGACTCTTTAACAGATGTTTGATGCTTTGTGCTCATGTGATCTGTATGTATATTGTAGAGATTAGTGAGGTTTTAGCAGCAAGGGTTTTTGTATTTTAGTGATGTATGAAATCAACATGATAGGGCTTTGTAAAATAGGCCATTATCATCATACTTAAAAAAGATGGTTCAACCAAAAATAGAAATTCATTTGCTCCCTCATGTTGTTCCAAACCCATGACTTTCGGTTACACATTATTTTCAGGTGTCCTTGTTACAGAGTAATTAAGTACTGAGTAATATTAATTAACTACATCAACTTACTATATGGTTAGGGTTAGGATTAGGGTTTGGTTTAGGGTTACTTGCATGTAATTATGCATAATTTATTGTTATTATAATAGTAAGTACATGTAATGTGTAACAAGGACACCTTAAAATAAAGTGTTACCTGACTTTCTTTGGTACAATGAAAATGTATGGGGACCTGGGTTGTCAAGCTCCAAAAGGACAAAAAAATCACCATAAAAGTAAAAACAAGAGTGGTTCGTATAACTTGTGCACTATATTCCAGGTCTTTTGAAGTCATACATTTATGTCATCTATTAAACATATTGCTTGACTACTGTGATCATGTTATGAAAAGAGCAATTTAGACATCCTACTATTATTTTATCCTTTTGCATTCCGCATCTTTAAAGAAACATTTTTAAAAGTTGTGGGTTTCAAAAGACATGAGAGTGAATTTTCATTTTGAGGTGAACCATTGCTTTAATATTGTATTACCTGCAGAGTTTCTTCTTGTCTGACAACTGAAGACTTACAGTGTTTGCAAAGCAGCACACAGATATTCTTCAAATATTCAGGGTCAAAACTTAACCCTCAATTTGAAACTTCTCCAATTAATTTAGCCTGAACCACTAATTTCACCTTGCTTGTTTTATCTGTTATTGTTATCTTTCATCCTTAAAAAAGTAAGATAATTCTTCTTTTGATAGAATCACTTAAATGTTAACTGGCAGCACAGATGTCATCATATAATTTGCATATTGAATTGTGATTGGTGAATGCTTGCATTCTTCCTGGCATATATTTAATCATTCACACTGTCTATGTATTAATCGTTTACACTGTGTGCTGTGTATATTGATGCTTGCAATGGCAAAACAGCTTTAATGTAGCATGAAACAAACCGATGTTTCGATTTTAGGCTTTGGTTCTGTGTGAATGAAATTTTGCACAGGCTAGAAATTTAACTGTATTTGGCTTTCCCACAAACATGTAAAACTTTCAGGGAATTTGAACATTGTGATTTCCAGGCCTGAAAAAGTCATAGAAATTAGTGAATATAGTTTTATTTCCCTAATAATGCACAGATCTAGAATATTTTATTTGCTAGAAATATTCTAGGTGCAATCGCTATAAAATGGCTTTTTTTATGTAGTAACAACTGAAAAAAAATTACATTATGATTGGTGTAAATGTAATCATAGCTCAAACAAACAAACAAAAAAAACGTTGCACATCTTGCAGGGAAAAATGTATGTAAACAATGCAAGCATGCATATTTGGATCCATTTAATGCAAGACAGCTTTAAATCATTGTCAGCTGTCATCTACAACCAACAAACTATAGTGCGGGCAATATCATGTTAATTGAAAAATGGCATCAAACCCACCCCTGATCTGCAATAATGAGTACTTCTATTGAGCTAACCTACTAACAAACAAAATTCTCTGTATGATATGCTAGTATATGTTACATAATGTAAAATATTCCCACAGTTCGTTTGGCCTCTTTAGTGTTAGTAATGTGTGTAATCTGATAACACAATATCTATATTGAACCTCCATGCTCACAAGAGAATGAAAAATAGTAATAATATCTTAACAGATAAGTTGGGCTTGATCTCTTACTGTACATCCTTTTAAAGAAAAAAAAAAGTTGTGTTCACTGTTAATATCAAACAGTGGCATGAGTTAGTTCCCTGTAGATATGTTGTATATTCCTGATTAATGTCATTGGTGCTAGTATAGTACATCTAAAAAATACATTTCAGTGCAGGTTGAGGTTTTGTGTGTGAGAAACCATGCTTTCATCTTTCATATAATCATTTTGTATCCTTCGATTACCAATAAATAAGTGAGAGCGATAGAATAACCAGGTTTAAATGGGGAGAGTTCGAATAGAGCTTTTATGCGTCATCTTTACCCTTTGTTCGCTTGCCATTGTTGTTTCACAAAGCTTAATAATTCAGCTAATAGTTATTATTGTTGTACGTTACGCCAATAAATAAGTGAGAGCGATAGGATAACCAGGTTTAAATGGGGAGAGTTCGAATAGAGCTTTTATGCGTCATCTTTACCCTTTGTTTGCTTGCCATTGTTGTTTCACAAAGCTTAATAATTCAGCTAATAGTTATTATTGTTGTACGTTACTCACTCACCAGACTCACGGATTGTCATTTTTAGTATTTCTCAAGAATCTGAATTTGTTACAATACAGTCATAATCCAAGGAGCATTTTATTACAGATCTAAGAAACCAAAGCATTTTGTTTCTCTTCTACGGTTGATTTACTTTCGTATACCTCTTTTACACAACATCTGTGTATTTTCTGCTCTGTTCACACCTCTTGTTTAATTGTGATTTTTGAGCATGCTGCTGTGAGTTTCCACTAGATGGGGATCAAAGGAACTGGTGTGACATTGTAGCACATTCTCATAGTGTTTGAAGTGCAGTGTATTTTAGGTGCTGAATGGACTTATTAAACCACGTTTATGCACCAACAATGTGAGATTATTATTTCTTATTTGTGACCCTGGAGCACAAAAGCAGTCTTAAGTAGCTGGGGTATATTTGTAGCAATAGCCAAAAATACATTGTATGGGTCAAAATTATAGATTTTTCTTTTATGCAAAAAAAATCATAGGGATATTAAATAAAGATCATGTTCCATGAAGATATTTTGTAAATCTCCTACCGTAAATATATTAAAACTTAATTTTTGATTAGTAATATGCATTGCTAAGAACTTCATCTGGACAACTTTAAAGGCGATTTTCTCAATATTTAGATTTTTTTGCACCCTCAGATTCCAGATTTTCAAATAGTTGTATCTCGGCCAAATATTATCCTATCCTAACAAACCATACGTCAATGAAAATCTTATTTATTCAGCTTTCAGATGATGTATAAATCTCAATTTTGAAAAATTGACACTTAAGACTGGTTTTGTGGTTCAGGGTCATATTTCACATTTTGACCTTTTTAGTGTATAAAAAGAATCTTGTAGCAGTAAATTGGTGTTTTTCATGCTGCTGTCATGCAAAACTCTATTCTGTTCTATTGTTAATTTTACACTTTTGTCGATACTTTTAGCAAGTTAATATTGTCTGTTTAAATTATTGAGATGTTTTTTTATCAGCTGTTTGGACTCTCATTCTGACGGCACCCATTCACTGCAGAGGATCCATTGGTGAGCAAGAGATGTAATGCTACATTTCTCCAAATCTGTTCTGATGAGGAAACTAATTCAAAAAACAATCCTGAGGGTGTGTGCCATTTCAACAAATTGTAGTTTTTTGGGGTGAACTATTGCTTTAAAATTTGTATGTTGTAATAGAATCTCAGTTTTTAATACTATTATTCAGTCTCTTCTTATGATTGTGTAGGACGTTAATGGTTGCCAGGATTCATCTTACTCAAATTCTCTGGTTACAAAAAAAAACAAAACATGCACGATAGATTGATATGGAGAGAATAATAGAAAGTAGAACAGCCAGATAAGTTCTTCATCGATTCCTCATTAGTGTTTAAATTACCAAATTGATTGCTTATGAGTAGATTGTATCTGTGTTCTTCAACACTTAGAGACAGATTGTGTTAAAAACAAACGCAAGCAATCTGAAGCATCTAGCAAACGTGCAAACAAACATACCACATGCAGGTGATTTGTCTATTGCTATATATACCCTTTTGAAAAATAGAACACTTTGCCATATTTGATTCAATCGCAGTTAATGAAATGACATTTTAGTTTAAACTTGTATTAAATGCAACTTCCCTGTACTGAAGTATTTTCTTGTGTAGTTAAAGTGTACTGAAGAATGTGCTGACAAGGATTTAAGATGAATTAAATTAGACTTTAATGTAATTTCTACTTAAATGTATGCCATGTATTTAAAATATTTGCAATGAAGTTGCAATTTAGTACCTTTAAAATATAGTAACTTTTAATGTTTTATCGTATAACACAGTTAAAATTATAATTAAATACTTTCAAGCATGAAAAAAATATATTAAAACAAAAACAGGAATTAAAACATCCTGTAAAGCAAAACTTTTAATTTGCCATTATTGCAAAGTGCACTTTTTAAAAGTCTGTTAGCAAACAGTCATAAAAATGAACTTTATTTAAGTACACTTTAGTGGCCCTTCATTTTATTATAGGCTATTATACACTGTAAAAAAAAATCGGTGACATTTACAGTAAAATACCGGCAGCTGTGGTTGCCAGAACTTTACTGTAAGAAATAGGGTAGCAACATTTTAGGTTTTACAGACTTACATTCACAATAAAATACCGTATTTCATTAACTGATGTAATGTTAATAAACCAACATATTGAAGTACTAATATCTGTTTTGAACCATTGTAATGCACTGATAACCACCAAAAACTGTGATGAGGAAGTTACATGATGAACCAAAGCTCATCACAAACAGCTTTTCTACGAGCTGAGGAGGGCAATACTAATATATAGAAGGTGCTCAGTGTCATTCATACAAACACTAAACCCCATCATGGTGACACACATGATACTGAAATAATGCAATAAACATTAACTTAACAACATTACATGTAAGATTAAACCCTAATGTACACAACTGATAAGAAAAAACTAAGAAGAAACATGTTATTTCAACAAAATAAACAAAAAATGAAGTGTCATGCAGGGAATTCTGGGAGTGTCAATTTACGGTTTTTCACTGTAAATTATACAATGACTTTTTATTTTTCACTTCCAAAAACCGTATTTTTAACAGCAGTAACTGTAAAATCACATTAAATGTAATTACATGTATTCACCGAATATAGTATGGAAACTTACTGTTAACCAGTTAACAGGTTTTTACCGTAGCATTTTTACAGTCTTTTACAGTTAAAATCACAATCATCTTTTACAGTGTATGCATGTACAGTTTTTTATATATATATACTGTGCTTATAACATTTGAAGTGTATATTTAATCAAAAATTAAGGACACTTCTTTTACACAAGTGTGTGAATCGGAAATGTACAACTCCCTGCTCCCATAAGTGTTTTATAAACAGACTGTATAAATATCACTGCTTAAAATCCTCTCTGATTAATAATCCACAAATAATGACTTTTCTTTTTACTGATCACCTTGTGACGCAAAACTGTTACTAAAGATAGAATAGGCGCAGCACCTCTGACATTCAGATAGGAAATCAAACACAAACAATAGCTGACTACTTATAAAACACATCGTATATGAAATAACTGGCATTCTGTTGAAAGCAGAGTGTATCAAGGGTTTTGTCAGAGATTGCAGTTGTTTTCTTTCTGCTTTGGCATGATTACTCGGAGCACACTGATAAGCAGGTTTATATGATCTTTTACACATGCCTCTACATGTAACATTTGTTCATTATTTGCTGGTGAACCACTTAAAACGTGTAAATATTATATGATGTATAATAGCCCTAAAAGTATGCTTAAAATATCTAAATGTCTGCTATAGAAACAAACTCTACCATTACATTTAATATGGATCTGAGTGTAGGTGATTTACTGATTTACTGATCCCTGACTGGTTTTATTAGGTTATACCAGTTCTTAATATATATAATATTATCTTAAACTTATGAGGGAATGTTAACAATGTTGTTAACAACATGTTAACATTTAAACATTCTTCGAAACATTTGGGATAATGTAAGTACACAAGTCAGCAAAATATATAACACTGTTCTAGTGGTTTTTGGATATTTTAATAAAAAAATCGTACATATTGTGCCTTTAAGAAAATCAACAGACTCTTCATCTGAAATAAAATTGCACTAAATAAAGACATAGTGCCTTTGGAGTAACCTGCTGAAATATTTAGTTAAGTGGGACTGAATTGAATATGAATTCTGTAACTTTCTAATTTTCAGATATCTCACATTTCATGAACTTTGGTGTATGTAACCTAGTTAAGCACAACCAAAATAAAACTAAAGGGTAAGTTGGAGAAAGATGCCACCCTTAAGAACAACATGCGTTTACTTTGGTAACACTTTAGGGACCAATTCTCACTATTAACTAGTTGCTTATTAGTGAAGAATCCTTAGATCCTCACATTAAAATGTGTATGTTTTTTTTAATTTTATTCATTTATAATCATTTATTCACATAATCATTTTATAATCATTAGTCATTCACATGGTTTATTATTTTATAATTTTTATAATTTATCATTATATCATTTTAATTACTTTATCATTTATTCACTTATTTTATTATGCTTATATTATTTTTCTTGCTTATGCATTTCCATTGTTGTTCAATCTCATGCTTGTGGGGTTTCTTGAACTTTTTTGTTTGTATGAATAAGAGATAGATAAGAGGGAATATTTATGGAAATCCAAGGTTTATGGGATGTTGTTGTGAATCCGTTTGATATATCATTACTTGCTGAATTTGTGTTCATTAGACGCACTTTAAACATTGAGACATACGCAACTAAGATTGCTCAATAAACTCAACTTCAACTTTGACAAAAAGTCAACTTCTTGACTGACAGAAGACTGTTAAACACTCGTTTTGGGTAATTTTGGATATCAGACAAGACATGCTATTTTCTGTGTGTGTGTGTGTGTGTGTATTTAAAGTGTACCTTAAGCATACTTGCAATAGTTCCACTTTAGCACAATCAAATATACTTCAGTAAGTCTTTAATTGGACTTCAGCATTACTTCCGCACTCTTAAGCACACAATTAGTTGTTCCAATTTAGCAGACTTTAAGTATACCAGTTTAGTATACTAAAAGTACAATTGCAGTGTATTTTATTAAGTACATAAATATGAAAATGTATTTGTAGTATACTTAGCATGAAATAAATGTATTTCAAATACATTTAAGTATATTTATTTTCCCCTAGAGTATTGTACCAGTCTAAGCATAAAAGATACACTTCACGTGAGTAATAAACACAAATATTCTGATAATCTGATTGCTCAAACCATTTGCGACAGTTCCAAGATTTCAAACTGCACAAATCGTAGACGAAAATGGACACTTTTCACATTTCTGGGATTTACTCCAATAGCAAAAGAATAATCAAGATAATGATTAAGGTGGTCAGAAAAGAGAATGATTTGCCATCGCTCCCTCAGCCATTGTATTAGAAACACTCACACAGCCTTAAAGAAGTAGTTCCTCTAAAAATGAAAATTTTGCATATAATATACTTACCCCAAGGCCATCCAAGATGGAGATGAGGTTAGAAATGAGGTTACATCACTTGCTCGCCAATTGATCCTCTGCAGTGAATGGGTGCCGTCAGAATGAGAGTCCAATCAGCTGATAAAAACATCACAATAATCCACACCACTCCAGTCCATCAGTTAACATCTTGTAAGTGAAAAGTTGCATGTTTTTAAGAAACAAATCCATCATTAAGATGTTTTTAACTTTAACTTCTGGCCAAAATCTATAAAGATTCTTCTAGTGAAAAAGTCCATCCTCTTTTGTCCTCTCACATCTATATCCACCCGCATGTTTGTTTTGAACTGTTTTCACTTGTAAACAGTGCTTGATCTGTGCATATTTCTCTCCTGGTTTAGATGAAATAACTATTTCACTTGAGAAAGCAGTATTATGGATAGAGGACTCATATTTCAGAAACAGTTTGAAGATAAAAACATTTTAATGATGGATTTGTTTCTTATAAACATGCAGTTTTTCACTTCACTAGATGTTAATTGATGGACTGGAGTGGATTACTTGTGGATTATTGCGATATTTTTATCAGCTGTTTGGACTCTCATTCTGACGGCACCCATTCACTGCAGAGCATCCTTTGGTGAACTAGTGATGTAATGCTAAATTACTCCAAATCTGTTCCCATGAAGAAACACACTAATCTACATCTTGGATGGCCAGAGGGTGAATACATTTTCAGCTAATGTTCATTTTTTTAGTGAACTTCTTTAAATATTTTTCTGAATTGTAATGCCAAGGTAATATAACAAAAAAGCTGACTTAGTTTACTTTATATCACAGTCATATAAAATGAAGTTGTTCTTACCAAGCTCCGGTAGTTGGGGCTCCTCTCAGGTGTGTGTGACATATATGTGGGATTGGCAAGATGTTCTTTGAAAGACGTTCTCTCATACGGAGCAACGGTTTGGGTTTCTTCCTTTTTTTCTTTTCTCCTACAGCACCAAAAGCATATCTGGAGAGACCGAAATGAGATTAGATAACATCACAACATTGTAGTGTTGACCATTTGTCCTGTTAATTTGTGAGTTTGTAAATGTAAAGTATTTACCAGTAGTAAGATGATGAAGAGAAGCAGTATGATGATGCATGCCAGCACTACCAATGCAATGGCCCAACCAGGAAGACCCTCAGCACTAGATTCTGCAAAAGTTGTTGACTTTGGAAAAAGCCAGGCAGGTGTGACTGTTTCTGCATGAAAAATATATACATTTTAGAATTCATTTATGTTAGAAAATTAGGTTTTCAAACACCATGAAGCAGACTTACAAGATATAAACATAAACGTGTTGGACTAATGAAATTCCCCATGTTGTACCTGTGTTTGTTGAATGTTGGTGTGGCCAAAATAATTTAAATTTACATCGATGAATCTAATGGGAGCAAATTCATACATTCTGCATGGGTCTGATGATGAATACGCACCAGCTGTGTACTGTCTGTTGACTGCAAGACCGTTCACTTGAGTGTTATTATCTATGGCCCTCAGGAACAAATGCTTGATCACAACATGGTTGATAAAAATGGTCTGGAACTGGAGGGTACAATTTGCGACCACAGACCCGTTACTGTAATCAAATGAGAAACAACATTTTGATTGATTGCAATATTTAATGCAGTAACACTTAAGTACACTTAAAGGGTTAGTTCAACCACAAATGAAAATTAGGCTGCGTTTTATTCACCCCTGAGGCATCCTAGGTGTATATGACTTTCTTCTTTCAGACGAATCCAGTCAGAGTTATATAAAAAATTGTCTTTGATCTTTCAAGATGTTTAATGGCACTCAGCGGGTGTTGCATGTATCAGTCCAAAAGAAGTTAAATAAAAAGCGTCCATCCATAAAAAAAGTGTCTCACACGGCTCCGGGGAGTGAACAAAGGCCTCCTGTAGCGAATCGATGCGTTTTTGTAAGAAAAATATCTATATTCAAAACTTAATAATCACTTTAATGTAGCTTGCGCTCACTGTTGTAAACAGAAGCAGTTCCGGGGGAATGACGTATGAGGGCGGCTTTGCGCATGTGCCGCTCAGAAGTGACGAACGC